TATATATATATATATATATATATATATATATATATATATATATATATATATATATATATATATATATATATATATATATATATATATTTGTATGTTCAATGTATTGCGTTCATTACAATATATCTCAAATGTAAATATTGTATGAATCTGAAGGTAAAAGAAAGTCGAAGTCATCAGATGGGAGTGATTCTTGTGAAGAAAATTTGTCTAAGAAAGAGCTGGCCTTACAACAAGCCTTGGATCAGATAACTTCCACGTTTGGAAAGGGGTCTATCATGTGGCTTGGCCGTTCTGTATCATCTAGAGATGTGCCTGTGGTTCCCACAGGTTCGTTCGCATTGGATATGGCTCTAGGAATTGGTGGCCTTCCGAAGGTATTTTACACTTCTTTAGGATGACTTTGTAAGGTTCAAACATTTTCTTAATCACATACTTTTGAATTGTTATATCTTTTATTTTAGAAGCCTATATGAAGTTCCTTTCCTTGATCATCATGTTTCATGTTTGTGATATATAGGGTCGCGTAATCGAGATTTATGGTCCAGAGGCATCCGGAAAGACAACTCTTGCTCTGCATGTAATTGCTGAATCCCAGAAGCAAGGAGGTACTGTTTAAATGATAAGTGAATGCGATCATTCATTCACACCCACTCTGTTTTATTCTTACTACTGGCTTCTGCTTGTATTTGTAGTTCATTTGGATAATTTGGCTGGTTATGTTGGAAAAAGCTCCCAAAACAAATGGGCAGGAATATCGTAAAACTAACAATTAACAAATATAAAGATATTAATCAGTAAAATATGGTTTAGAAAGCCTGTTAGTTGGGTCGAGGCGCACAGCATGACTTTGCCCTTATAGAAGTCGTGCCCCCACTTGCGTTGAGTTTCTGGACACTCCAGTCCCATGAGACGACTCCCTTCTAGAAAGCTTGTGTGCAACTAGGCTCTGTTGCAAATCCCCATTTACTTGTCTGCTCAAAGGAAGAAAAATTCTCAGTACTCTTTGTAATGCTCTCTGACATAAATACTCACTGCCCATTATGAAGAGAATATCAATTAAAACCCTTTAAACAAGCCATAAAGTTCTGGAATTTCTTCTCAAAGGAAGGATCAATTAAATGACTTTCCCTTTCTTTAATTTATAAAACAAACTTTCTGAATCCTATTTTACTGGGTAATATGTTTATACTTGTTTGTTGTTGTTATGTTAATCATATTCCTGCCCATTTGTTTTGCAAACAATCTTAGAGCAGACATGGTTAGGAATACTGTTAGTATTTTTTGATGTTATGGCCTCTACTGAT